GGCCAGGGTTTAGTGGTGGGATGGCAGGGTTAGGGAAACGGTTGGGCTTGATGATCTTAAAGGTCTTTTCCAACCTAACCGATTCTATGATTCTATTTGCAGACAGCTAGCGTGTTGCCCAGCCAAGGCATCCGTGTCTCCCCCTGCTCTGCACAGCTCAGCTCTGACACCCTCTTTGCAAAACTTTTCCCACCCCTGTCTCTTAGATGCTCTTCACTTTCCAGTTAGACTTCTTGGTTGCCTGTCATGAAGAGCTGAATTGTACTAAAACGCTCTTCTTTACTCCATTTCCCTTCCATCTTTCACTTCTTCTATCATCCCTTCTTTCTGCTCCTCTATTATCTGTCTCCTAGGCTCTTTTCTCACTTTTCCACTACAAGAGATGGTCTGAAGCTTCACAGATCTCCTCTAACCTCTTGGGTTGGAGAGAGTTGGGTAGGTGCCTATCACTGCCTGTTTCTCTGGAGTATTTTCAGCTCTCCACTGCTTGGAGGGGCTTACATCAACACTTTGTTTTCTCCTTTTCCCATTGCTCACCCTGAGGTCTCTGGTGGCTCTCAATTCTTCTCATCCCCCTTTCCTCTTGTTTCGTGGCAAAATCTATTTGGACCCTCACCAATCCATGACCCATGAGACCAAAATCTGCTCTGGCTGGAGTGTTGCAGAATTGTCAGAAAGCTGCAGACCCTAGACTTAATTTTTGTTCTTTTCATATGAAAAATTTTCCTCTTTCATAGAATCATAGAATGTTTTGGGTTGGAAGGGACCCCTAGAGGTCATCTAGTCCAACCCCCCTGCCGTGAGCAGGGACACCGCTAACTAGATCAGGTTGCTCAGAGCCCCATCAACTTTTTCACTCAAATTAAGCCACAACAGCAGGTGAATGATTGCTCTGTGAGTGAGGGGATGCTTAACTTGGTCCTTCTGAGAGCAGACTAGGGGGCAGAGGAGGTGTTGGTGGGTAGCTTTGCTGTATTTCAGCTCTTCAGATGCTTAGCACAGCTCTGACAGAGCAGGCAACTACCATTAGAAAGCAGTAAGTGAAAGAATTATATATACAGCTGGACAACCTAATTTTTTTTTCTGGGGTTTGTATAAGACATACTACAGAGCCCTGGTCTTGAGAAGAGATGGAATCCAGTTTTCTGGAAAATCAGACTTGTTTCAGGATTGGCGAGATGCAGGCTGCAAATTTAGGCATCTGAAATAAATCATTGATCGCTTTTGAAAATCTTAATCAAATTGCTTCACACGGGCAGGCATGAAATAGGAATCCACAGGCATCAGCAACCCCAGGCTGGTTGTTATTACAGAAGATCATTTAGTACAGACTGTTCTTATTTAGGTTAAACAAAGCTAATCCTGAAGTGGTGCATTTCTTATACCAGCCTGCGTGCGTCTGCGCCTTTGCACACATGTGCATGAACAGAATAGGCAATTCTTTATGGAAAATAATAGATATGGGCCAGAAGAGGCCTTGCCGGGCAAGGTAAGACATGTTTTTCTCTCATATGGAGATACGGGGGATTCAGGTTGTGGTTTTGATTTGTTTCTTCCTAGAAAAGTAAGAGGGTACTGAATGGCACGGGGAATAGATAGGAGCAGGAAAGCAAATGCTCTGGGCTCCTGAAATATTAGAAGGCACTTACCAGATTTGATACTAATCTGTCATGGTTAGTTCAGGGCTGAGCAGGGTCCCTGCAGAGATGTCTGTAACCAGAGGCTCTGATACTCTGCTAGGGTATTGTTTCATCTTGGCTTTGCAGGAAAAGCCAACGCCTTTGGAAACTGAGACTTGATTTTCCATGGGTGACCAACATGAGTCATGACTTGCTAAACTTTTAGGGACTCTCTCTGGGAGTGTCTCCTAGTGCTTCCAGTACTTATATCTACCTGATACTCACCCAGAGGATCATTTTGGGGGACAAACTGTGGTAGGAAATATTTGAAGGCAATCTATTATCCTGCCCCGTGCAAACATCTGCAGAGAGGTAGCCACTTGTCACATGCAACAAGTTAAAAACAAAGTTTGTATTGGCTGCATAAATCCCACATGGTCTACTACCTATCCCAGAATCCCAGAACAGTATTCCCTGGATAGACAGCATAAGCTCTCTTTGCATCAACAGAGGCTGTTGCAAGGACTTTATGATAAAGTAGTGAATGAAGGTGACAATTTTGGTTGCAAAATCACGGTGAAAACGGCCTGTATCGTGCCCAACTATTAGGACAATGAGGCTGACTGGCAAAAATTTGTGTAACACATTAGTAATGGCTACACTTGGTGTAGGATCAGGTACTCTGGTGTTTGGGCTTCTTGCAGGCACAGAAGCAGACAGGGGAAGCAAGAGTTGGGGCTGTCATCCGTGTACCTCTACTTTGAGGAAGAATGTTATGGAGAGCTCCCATTTCTCCCTGTTTTCCCTCTCTTTGCTCTTTTGTTCACATTTTCTTTCCCTCATGCTCTTCATCCCATCCAGAATAACAGAATTGGCCAGAGCGGGCTCAGGTCATTTCTCAGTTGCTTATGCTGCTAATGGAGAAAACCAAATGAGCCATGCTAAACTTTACTCCTGAGGCTTATTCCTCAAGAAAGCTGTTTCTGCTCCCAGGGAAGTCAATGGAAGTCTAATTAGTCCCAGATGTTTAGTAATAACAAGCACTTCCTTTTGGTAGAGCCAAACAAAAGCAGTGTTAAAACCATTAATTAAATGGGTTTGGCTCTGTCATCAGGTTATTAACTAATTCCAGTCATGGCAGCCAAGCTAATACAGGCTCTCAGAAGGAGATATAATCTTGCCGTGCTCGATACAAAAGGCACGAACCCAGTGTGTGGATAAATTAGCCCAGGTCTGGGCGCGCGGCTCAGCTTGCTTTCACACCAAAGGAGAAGCTCACCGGCTTCAGCATCAGGCTTCCAACTAACCCCTGAGGTCGCTGCTTGGGCAGGCTTTCTCCTCCAAGCAGAAGGGCTTGAGCCAATGGGTAGCATTGGCTTCCGTAGATGTTAAATCAGGCCCTAATGCTGCTGACTGTGCAAAAGCTTGCCTACATCTTCAGTAGATTTCCCTATTCTCCTTTGGTTGTAGTCTGAGATATGGAGCCGCTATCCCTGCTTCAGGACCAGAAGGTAAAGGTCTAAGGTGGAGTCTGAACACCATAGAAAAATAGGAAGACATAGCTTTTTATCCGTGGAGCATTCCAAGCTGGTGCTTTAATATATTCACAACCCTGTGCTTTTTACAAAATTCAAAGGTGTTTTTATTGTACAAAATTTCACAATGAGAACTACCAGCCAGTTTCTTACAGAACTGCTTTAAAAATAGCATTATACACCTTTTTGTAGTGTGTTAATTTTGACATTCACTAGCTGGAAGAAACATAAAAGGAGCAGCAATTTGACTCTGAGTTATTTACCTGGACAGGTTTTGGTTTGACCTCTATTTCTCTTATGTGCCTTAATGTACAGTTCCTGGCATTAACAGAAAACCTGATATAGCTCCTTTTGAAGCCACTGAACCCCATTAGTAGGTCAAGCTCCCACTGTTGGTCAGCTGCTTATAATTTCAAAAGGGTGAATCTGCAGTCAGAGTAGAGGGTGTAATATATATCAGGGTCAGCTTTTAGCAACGCAACAGGTTGGCCGCGTTAAACCCATCACGGAATGAAGATCTATGTAACTTTTCTTGCAGCCAGTCCCCTAGACCGTAATATCTTTTCAGGGAGAGAGAGTGGACCTCTGATCTGAATCATGGCCCAGGAGTGGGTTCCCTGTATATTGTTTCACTCTGGTATCTTTCAAACACCTTTTTTTCTGTTTAACCTCCTGTGACCTTTAAAAATAGACATATTATTTTTTTTTTTTTGCATTGAAATGCAACTCTATGCAGTGAGTTCCCAACAGTTTTCCTTAGACATATAAACATTTCAGTCCAATGGTAGCTGGTTGAAATTCATTCTCCAAGATTTTTCTTTTAAAAAGCATTCACCCCAGAGATGAATCTCTTCACATTAAACCCAGTTAAATATGTATTGCACGCGAGGGGCAAATTTCTCCTCTTTGAGTCGAACTGTGGACCTGTGACCTTCTGAGCAGATCTGGGTAACAGACAGCGCAGCTGTTTCACTCCTGAGATTTCTTTTACATCCCTCATGGGTATTAAATGCCAAGACTAATTAACATCATCTACCTCTCATGTCTTGCTCCAGTGGCTGGACCAACATACTACAAGCAAAGGGAAGTATCCAAAGAGGTTCCTACCACCAAGGTCTTTGGTTCCCATGGATAGCTGTGGATTTTCTAAATGGCAGCCATGAGCACAACAGCCGTGAACTATGATTTCCTTTTTTAGCTAAATTCTCATTGTTTTGGAACTCATGGGAGATTTGCAACCAACCTCAAGGACTACAAGATTGTTTATTGGCCTGTCCTGGCATTGGCTTGTATGATTTATGCTTAAGAAGAGTTAGGAGCTGTTATTTCTAACCAGTTAGGAAAAAGCAAAGCTCAGCTCAAAGCAAAATATCTGGTGGAGGCACCTAACTTTGAGAAGGGCTTTCCTACTCAATTGGGGTCATCAATGACTCACAAAAAGTCGATTCGGTTACAATGCTCAATTTGCATAAAGTCTTTCTGTGAAGGTGATACCACAAATGACCTCTGAGCTTTGTGAAAAGTCTCGAGGCCTTAGAGGGCTTTTTCTTTTGGCCTGGTTTCAATTACACATCCCTCAAACCAACAGCAGGGCTTTACAGAGGCCTCTTCTACCACTGTATAAACTTGTTAAGCAGATCTGCTTGTGCATGAAGCAAGTGCAAAACACGGCAAATTCTCCTTTCAGTCCCTGCAAGCCAGAGCACTCTAGTGGTGCTGTTCAGGGGCACTTTGAAACTGTTGTAAAATCCACAGTTAAAAATCAAAGATGAGAATTTTACCCTTCATTTCTACACACCGGCAGTGTAGCACCTGATTTCTTCAGTTTTCAAGGCATTTTGTGTTCCTATGCTTTAAACTGATGGCTAAAGTTTTGCCTGCGGAAGCAAAAAAATGAACCCACGCCAATGATGATCACGGATAAAACCAACACAAATGTTAATATAATAAGGAAGTTGATTTTCTTTAGATCTTCTTTTTCACAGTCTTCTGGTCTAATGTTCCCGATGTGCATTTCTTCCTGGTACCCAAAGTTCTGAGTGTACTGGCACATTAAGTGCTCCACGTTGGGGATCTGGACATTTTTGTTCTGGATCATTGATGAGAGCCAGATGTTTCCACAGCAGTTGAGTGGGTTCCCAGTGAGATACAAGTTTTTAAGGGAATTTTCTAATGCTAAAATATTGCTGTTCTGTAATGTACTAAACCTATTGTTCCGTAGGTCCAGCACTTCCAGTGGAGAGTCACTACCCCACTTAGGCAGCCAGTTCAGCTGATTTTCAGAGAGGTTTAAATGTTTAAGGTGACTAAAACAAGGCAAGTCAATATTTAAATCTATCAGGCTATTGCCATGTAAATACAAATATTCCAGAGACTTTTCCAGTCCTGATAATGCTTTAGCTTCTATTTTCAATCCGGGATTCATGGACAGATCCAGGACGATCAGAGAAGTCTTGTAGAATGTGTATGCTGGTAGGACGTTCAGCATGTTGTCAGCTAGGTACAGGTACTGAAGAGCAGGAGAATCAACAAATGATACGCAACCACTTTCCTCTCCAGCAAGTCTTTGCTTAGCTAATCCTGAGTACATGCTGCAAAGGCTGATATTATTGCTCTGTAGATTAAGTAGCCTGAGGCTAGGAAGACTTGAGAAGATATTAAATTGCAGGGTCTGAAGATGGTTGCTTTGAATGTAGAGCTCCTTCAAATTTGGCAGCGTGCCAGAATCTAGGAGAAGGTTCTGCAAAGCATTGTAGCTCAAGTCGAGGACAGTTAGGGAGATCAATGCATTGTCATAAGTTACTGCAAATGCCTGAAGACAGTTTTTACTGAGGTTAAGGGTGTGAAGGGACAACATTGATTCAAAGAACTCATCCGGAATGGACTTGATTTCATTGTAACTTAAGTCTAAATATACAAGCTGGGGTAAATAAAGAGAACTTTTGTTTCTACTTTGCTTCTGATCAAGAAGATGGAAAGAAGCATCTAGCCATTCATTTTCCATATAGTCCATTTTATTACGAGGGGATTCAGCCGTGAGCTGGATTAAATTCTTTGATAAATTCAGAGTTACCAGCTTATTTACCCGGGGGAAGACTGGGAAGTGAAGCAGTTTGTTATCACTCAGATCCAAACATCTTAAGCTATATTCATCATCTGAGTTTGCAGTGTGGAAGGTCTCAATGCTATTCCTGCTAAGGTCAAGTATCTCCAGCTGTCTGAGGTTGAAATCAGAGATGCAAGTAATTGAATTCATGGAGAGGTTGAGTTTGGAAAGGTTCACCAGAGTCTCAAAAGCACCTTCTTCTATTTCCATTATGATATTACTCTGAAGATCTATCTCCACAAGACTGGGAGATCCCTGAAACATCTTCTGTGATATCATTATAATACTGTTGTCTGCCAAGGAAAGATAACGCAGTGCTGGAGCTTGTTTAATGAAATACTCAGCCATCCTGTTGTACAGACTGTTGTGGGACAAGTCCAGTATTTCCACCTTGGGTAAAAGTCCAATCCCCTCTGTCCCATTCTGAGCAAGCTCATATAAATGATTGTTGGCTAAATTTATTTCCAGCAAACTTGTCATGTGTGCAAAGACTCCAGGTGTGATGAAGCTTATCTGGTTCGAGCTTAAATCCAGGCACTGGAGGGAAGTGTAAAACGATAATGTCATTTCAGGGATGCTTTGAATCAGATTTCCAGACAGATCTATTTTATTTACATTCGGATGGAGCTCACGAGGGATCTGGTGGAGGTCTTTGTTGTGGCAAAATGCCTGCAACTTTGCCTGCCATAAAAAGAGAGAAAAGGGGTTGTCACATGACAAATGAAAAACATCTTTGCATGAAATATAAAGAAAATAATGCTCGGCATCCAGGCTGGCCCTTCTTCTGAAACACTGATCACACTATTTTCTCTGAGCATTCAGACAGCAAGAACAACAATCCTAATACTTCCTGGCAGCTAACAGCACTGATTAAATTTAAAGACATTTCTGAATTACAACGGTAGAGAGTTTCATCTGCATGTGATACCTACTAAATACTCTCCTTTTTGTACCTTTCTCCTGGGCTCATTTCAGTTGTCCCAAGTGAAGGAGTTTTGCCCTCTTTCCATTGCACCTAAAGGCCGTTTCCTCATTTTCGTTCTGATGTTTAATTTTCTCCGCTTCATCGCTGTATTAGATTTTGCAAACTTTACGTGCAACAGTAAGTAGTACTTATCATAGAATCATAGAATGTTTTGGGTTGGAAGGGACCCCTAGAGGTCATCTGGTCCAACCCCCCTGCAGTGAGCAGTGCTTAGAAGAGTTTCACTCTGTTGGCAGCATAGGTCCCAAAGCAAGGATGTGGAGAAACGTATAAGGACCCTCCCTATAGCACAAAACCCACCTCTCTCCTTCTTAGTGACCCCCTCAGATATTTGATCGTGTCTTCCTTTAGCCACAGCTTAGCTAAGCAAAGCATCTTTAACCAAATGGGTCATTCAACAACTGAAACATTTCTGATGAAAATCTCCAAACTCTTCCTACTTTTACCATCCATGTTTATCCTTTTCCTAAAGCAAGAGTTCCCTTCCTCTTGTATGGGGAGCATACCTTATGAAACCACTCATGGAAAGGACAAATTATGTAAAACCAGCTTTTGAGCGGAAAAAATCTGTGATGTGCAGTGAGGGTCATGCCTTTTCAGTCCAGTTCTCAGCAACAGGGTAGAGAAAAGACCCAAGTGTCAAATTCACCTTCTAGATGCATATCTGTTTAATTGCAGCTAGGGCTGAATCTGTGTCCAGAGCAAAATTTGGAGTGTGTGTGTGTACATAAGGAACACTGGAAACATGAACATGGTCATTCTTGCATAAATGTCAAGCTGTATTTTGTTACTGATGAGAACATACAGCAGCAGGAGGAAGTGGAATGCGACAGGCTTAGGCAGCATTAAATTTACTGGAGGAAAACTCTTGTTATGAATGTATTTGGGTGACTGGGTCATGTACTGTTTGTAGGAAGATCAGAAAGAAAAGAAAGAAAAAAATCTGTTGAATCTTAACTTCTGTAGAGAAGCAGAATCCAGATTCCATGACGTAAAACTTTTCAGACATTAAAGAAACACTAAAAGTAAAAAATATCAAACCCCATCTGTTTCATGTGAACTTTTAGGTGAATGAAGTGGCAGGTCTGTTTAGGAGAAGTGGGGCAATAGTCAGCGTTTTGTGAATCTCTTTTGCATCATGTGAATTTTGGAGACTGCACAAAAATGTGCCAGAGAAATGTAAGTGCTCATCTGAACTCTAGATATACACAGGCTGCTCCGCAGTCCTTCCCGTGATACATCTTTCCCAAAGATCCCAAGTAAATGGCCTATTAAAACCTGAATCTCATCTTCCTTTTTCTCCCCAAATCACTCACATTTCCCCCAGCTAAACAAATTAGAAAAAAAGAGAAGGGAATTTTCTGGCTTCTTCCTGACATTCTTTCTTTCCTGCAAAGTCACTGTAGACCTGCTTATTTTGAGCTAAGATGTGCACAGAGCTGGGCTTAGCTCCGAGACTCAGGAATAGAGCAGGAAGCCTCTTCTTCATTTTGTGGAAGAAGGAGAAGCCAGAAGGATGCAAAAATCCAGCGTGAAAAAGCAGCAGCCGCTTTGCAGCCTGAGGCAAATGCCAGGTTTCTTCCCACACTTTGAGCCAGATCTCAACAAGTGTTAAGCACTCTCAGCCCCTCTGGGCACCCAGCACCATAGTGAAGTCCTGATCCAACTCCAGTCGGCGTCAGTTGGCTGGTTTTCACAGAAGTCAATGGAGGGAAAGGTCAGTCCCAGTTCACCACGTATCTTGCAGGATTGGGCCTTTAATCTGCATTCGCTGAACCCTCCCAGTGATAAAAGGGACTGATAAAATCTATACCTCCCACTGTCTGCCATTTGTTCCTATAACATTTCCCCTCCATTTTTTTTTAACTTTCATTCCTTTTCACTGACTATTTTGATCCTTGTTGAATTTCTTATCATCTAGTCTGTTTACTGACTATTTTGATCCTTGTTGAATTTCTTATCTAGTCTGTTCTGCACCATCTTTTTTCCCCTGCGGCTCAAACTCCATGGATTTTGTTCTCATTGGCACTCAGAAGAAAAAATGAAGCATGTCTTAGTGGGACAGAGCAAACAGTATCTGTCTGCATTTGTATTTCCCCTCTTCCCACCCCATAGACCAATGGGTTGACAGCCTGAGGCTGGAAAAGAGGTATTTGCCAGTCTCACGTTCTGACTCCATCATCTCTGCTGATGCTGCCACTGGTTTGTTCAAAGTCTTTTGGCAAGAATTACTGCAGGGTGGGGCGCACTTGATCCCTTTGGCGTCTGGTCCCATTCAGGTGCTTGTGAAAAAATGACCCAACAACTCAAAAGTTGAGCAACACTTGGATTCTGACTCCAGTTCTTTGCTGCTCACCACTGGGTGGAAGTTGTCACCCACCTTAGTAAGAGCTGTACAAACAAAGCAGCTGGATCCAAGCATCCACCTGTGTTCTCCTGTATTGGCTCATGAATGTTTGAACCAAAGAGTTTGGGCTGAAGGCACTTGGCATCGACTTGCACTTGCACAGTGTCCATGTTCATTCTCTAGAAGAGCTGCCCCGGTGGAGGCTCAGCTACACAACAAAATCTTGGCAATTTGCCCAGGTATCACGTATCAGCTGATGTGTGACAACCAGGTTCTCATGCGTTCTTGCACCACCTGATGTCCCCAGTCTTTTCTCTTTGGGATCATGGAATCACAGAATGCCTTGGGTTGGAAGGGACCCCTAGAGGTCATCTTGTCCAACCCCTCCGCAATGAGCAGGGACACCGCTAACCACATCAGGTTGCTCACAGCCCCATCCAACCTGGCCTGGAATGCTCCCAGGGATGGGGCGTCCACCACCTCTCTGGGCAACCCCTGCCAGTGTTTCACCACCCTCATTGTAAAGAATTTCTTCCTTAGATGCAGTCTAAACCTACCCTGGTTTAGTTTAAAACCATTACCCCTTGTCCTGTCACAGCTGTCCCTACTAAAAAGATTGTCCCCACCTTTCCTATGGACCCCCTTTAATTATTGAAAGGCTGCAGTGAGGTATCCCTGGACCCTTCTTTTCTCCAGGCTGAACAACCCCAAATCTCTCAACCTGTCCTCATAGGAGAGGGGCTCCAGCCCTCGGATCATTTCAGCAGCCCTCCTCTGTCCCTGCTCCAACAGGTCCATGTCCTCGTGCTGAGGGCTATGCCTTGTTGCCTCTCAAATGGGCAGATGTGCAGTAGCTTGTATAATCACTGCAGCTCACTCCCATGGCAGGGGTCTGGTAGGGACGGTTTACTTCCTAAAACCTCTTTTACAAGACTTTGGTTCAATGAGAGGAGCACCAGCAGTGAGTCAGAGAGGGGCACAGGTTTTGGATTCATGCCTCTTCCAGCAGATCTGGGATGAAAGTTTTCATTTCTCAGCATTGCTATTCTAAAGGTGTCACCACAGGGAAAATACTACGTAAACCAGCGAGGCTGTGATGAAAAATCATCATGTGAAGCAAGTGGGACTCCTGATGGACCCATCAGCTAATCCAGTAGTTCCTTCTTTCCTTAAGCTGTGTTTGGATTTACACCCTCCTCCTTCCATCAGACCAAACACCCAGTGAAGGAAGATGAGAAAAGCTCCGTCGACACCAGTGATACTGAGCTCTTAATTCATACCAGATGAGCATCCCAGCCCCTGACTGCAACGTGTTTCCTGTCAGGGCTGAATTTATCCCAGCCTCGTTACGTAGAGCCTTGGTTGTTGGCTTGATGAAAGCAGTTTACAGTGGAGTGGTGGAAACAAGCATGTGTTTACTTCTCAGCAATCAGCCTGATCTGTGACCCATCAGGAACTGGGACAGGGCAAATCCGCTTGGATTATTGCGTGTCTCGCCCAACCTTCCTGGGACTATGATACATGGGACCCAAGCTGTCATGTTTACAGTGGCTTCATCAGTCTTCCCTTTCCAGCCAATGAACTGAGCTACCCAGTCACCTTCCCAAGATCTTTTTATATATACTAGGTCTTAATTTCTCTGGAATTCAGGAAGTGCAGCAATACAGCAGGGTGGGCAGGAATGGAATGAGTCCCATAAGGGAGTTGTGTACAGCTAGCAAATTATTTTTTTCCCTATTTTGGAAATTCTTGAGGATTTGTGCTGAACAGCTTCAAGGTTCAAAAAAAAAAAAAAAAAAGATAAGTATTTTTAAATGGCCTGTTACAGTCAGAAACACTTGGATAGGGAAGGGGGCAAATTCAGCTGTGAATAACATTTATAATATTGTACCAGGTGCTTGCAGAAATTCAAGGAGCAAGTTTTTGTACTGGAGCAAGAGGCTTTGTCACTTCTTTTACCTCCAGCAGAAGTCAGGTACAACTCCCCTGGCAGCAATGCTGTCTCAGGATGGAGGAGGTCAGTCTCCCTTCCAAAAGGGCTGGTATAGATGTATTTCCAGAAGATGCTTTATGTAAAACACAAAGAACTCAGGTCTGATATAAAGGAGTCGATTTTAGATCTAAGTTCTTTCACTGTTCAGCCACAGAACCCCTGTACAGTCTTGGGGAAATCAGGTCAAATTTCTTTTAACCAGCTCCCTGTTGGAAAAAAAACCAGATAATGGCCCTTCTTTTTTCCACCCCTTTTATGTGCTGTCACCAGAACAAGGACACAGCCTGAGAACAGCCCGCTGAGCACCCACTAACGCAGCAAAGCCCACCTCTGCCATCATGGAGAACCTGGTCCTGGGGGGCTTCCCTTCTCAAAGGCCACAGCTATTGGGGCAGTGCCTGTAACAAGTGGGTCCCAACCTCATCCAGGATCTCAAGGGGCCTGAGCAGGGAGACAGCCTTACCATTTCACAGGACGTCCCCTCTGTGGGCTGATAGTTAGAGGTCCCTCTGTTCACCACTGCCAGGAAGAAGACAACGTACAGTTTCATGGTTCTGTGGGTAAAAGTAATTTTGGTTAGATTTCGGATGCGACACAATGGTCAACGCATGTGAAAACTGGCACCAAATCATTGTCTGACATGGAGAAGCACATACTCAGTGAAATAAATTAACCCATCTCTGAGCTTACAGGACTTACGGCCTACCCCTGCATCCCTTTGAGCCTGGTGGGAAAAAGAGATTTATATGAGGACTTGAAAGGAAGGTCCAAGGCATTTCATGGGATTGCCCCGGTGTGATTTCAGCTACTACCTAGGTGACACCCAGACCACCCCATGAAGTCCAGATGCTCAAGATGGGCAATGCGTCTGGCACCATGGAGAAAGGCAAACATTAAAGACCAAGTTACCTTCACTCTCCCCATATAGGTGGCTCAGGTACTTTCAGCTGGGCTGGAGTTTTGGGGTGTGTGTCCTGAGCAAAGAGAATGGGTGCCACTCAGAAACAACAAGCACCGGGAGCAGTTTCCTTTTCTATCCACAACGTTTTCCACTCCTCTCATCCCAGAGTGTCAAAGAGCTTTTACACACCCATCCAGATTTGTTGAGTTAATATAAACAGCTTAAAGAATGGACTGAGAACTTTTTGTCCAAATGTTAGCTTTCCATTTTGTACATCCCAGGGATGGGCAGGCTTTTAAATACATTTGAAAGCAGATGTCTTACAAAGAGACAGATATAAAATTGAATGGTTTTGCATGAAACAAAGGATTCATCAGAGTTTAACTGTTTGGAAAGTGCTCCAGAAAAAAGAATACAGAAATAACAGCAAAAGGAGCAAACAACACTGGGAAGCCTGTCACTGGGCAATGGGAGAAACATGCAAATGAAGCCAAGGGAGAGCATTTGCCCTTCACACGGCTTGTTTCTAAATGGACACTAATGAGGCCTCTGGCTGTGGTCACCAATGTGATGGTGAGCTCCAGCTGCCACTTCACGAGCGCCTCTGTTGCA